GAGGGTCTGAGATATTCGACGTACAAACGTCCTGTGCGCGGAGCATACGACTTGTAGGTGATGACCGTGAGCTGCTCCAGCATGGGGGCGGCACGAAGCCATCGGGCAGCCACAAACGCGAGAAAGGAGGCTTCAGCAGACAGGGTGAGCCGTCGCAAGTGATGGGAGACGTGATTGAGTAGCTGCAGGTATTCCGCGTAGTCCACTCTTGTTATCTTGTCGGGCGGAAGGTTCAGCGTGATGTCCAGCGGGGCAATCCTCGCGCGCAGAAGCCACAGGTCCAGTGTTTCCTGTGGGATCCCCGGAACAATCTCGATACAAGTCCACAATATCACAGTGTCAAGAGCGACGATCCTCCACTGCCGGCAAACAGCGGTCGCAGTTAACTGGAAAGGTCGGAAAACCTGAGAGTGGTAGCCGTGACCCTTGATATATTTATGCTCTTGACGATACTGCAGAATGTCGGCAGCTTCTTCAAAGATGAGGGCGAGTACATCATCCGGAAGGCGAGCGATTAGTACATCATCCGGAAGGCGAGCGATTGGAGGAATTGGACAAGTAGACGACGTGAAGGTTCGACGGCGAACCATGCGACGGAAGAGGTTACGTTGATTGTGAAGTCGCACAGCATGCAGGGCCGACGTGGTAGCCTTCTGAAGGCGTTGGAGGATTTTGGAGGAAAAGCGTGATATCGCTAAAGATGCGGCCGGTTGGTCTATCTTACCAGCTCAATGTCAGCGCACATTTCCGAAAACAAGCTTGGAGGCAGACACTCACCACGAGCCCACGATTCTCTGGAGTGGCCATTGCGTCAGGGGTGAGTACCGGCAAGACAGCGGAAGAGACAGCAGGGTCAACTTATAGTCAATTTGCTTCGGGGGTCGAGTCAGACCCACTTGCGTTAGGATGACTTGTCGCGAGAAGTGGTGGGAGTCAGAAGCGCTCGAGCATAAGCAGTCGTGACGTCCGTTGACGTGGTGACATCTCGGCAGGCACAGCTCATATTTTTGCAGATGCGGGGCTGGTTCAGACCACTGCTTGGCGGGATGATGAAGTGATGGGGTGTGCCCGAACAAGAGTCAGTGACAGATCCCCAGACTTGTTCGTCTTTGGTGAACGTGACTCGATTGGAACATTCTGGAAGCGACGGGTCTCACAGTTCGAGCGGCATAGGTTGTGCAGGACCAGAGAGGCGAACAGGGATGGACTCGGATGCAGGATGGTTTTGCTCAGCTCAGCCCTGCAGCCATTCACCATTACGGCCACTCGTGGTATGGTATGACATGGCCGATCCCCTGGAGCGGTGTCAATCGCAGCTCCCCTGCTTCGCACAGTAGCTCACCATCAATTCCGCGTCCCTACTCCTCAACGCAGTAGAGAGCGCAACGGCTCTCCAGCGCCGCCAGACGCGCGTTACGGTGACTTGGTATGGATGACACAACCCCAAGTGTGGACCGCCGGTGTCCTCTTCGTAAGTACTTTGCAGTGTCTCGGCTAGGTGAGCGAAGATCAGCACAAGGATGTCGTCTGGCACGCGCATGATCGGAGAGGATGCAGAGGAAAAGGAGGCTTGGTCACAAAGGCGATTGAGGACAACTTTGTACATATTTCAGATAGGTTAAGCAGTTTCAGGCTCGAAAACAGAGGCAGTTATGCGGGCGACCTTTGGGGGATCACAAGGCCGAAGGCAAGGAGAGTGTACTGTGCGTGTGTCGGACCCTGGTCACCGTAGGAGTCACGCTGGGGATCGGCCAAAGAGGAGAGCACAGGTTCACGAGTGAAGAGGGCGAAAACGGTGAGGCGGCTCCTGCGATGAAATAAAAGGCGCCGTGGCGTTCTTTTCCGGCGACATCCTTTAGTACTTGAGATCCCAACAAGCAGAGTAGATAAGAAGACAAAATCAACACCCTCTGAACAGCCGCCCGGCTGGCGCAATCGGTTTAGCGCGTCAGACTCTTATTTGAGGGATCTGAAGGTTGCGAGTTCGACCCTCGCGTTGGGCTAATGGATAACATGTCTTTTGTTCCTTTGAGCAGTGCGGCTGTGTAAGCCGCAGGGCATAACAGTACAAGGGGTCACGTGATATCAGCCTCCGAAGAGGGGAAAACAAATCCCGTCACCCGCGTCGCATCACGCGCGTAGGCCCTATCGGCTTCTCTATCCAGTACCTCGACGTCGGCGACAGCGAGCTTGACTGTGCGACACCATACATGGCCGACTCGTCGCAAATACTACGCACCCCGGGTGGTACCCGCCGTCGGGGTCCTCCCAAACCACATCAACCCTTTCAACATGATGAGCTTGCACGTGGAAAGTGCGTATATGTCATACAGGGCGTGCATGCAGCGTCTCACCGAGGCACGTTCTACCAGGCGTACGGGCAAGACCATCAAGGTCGTCGGTCGGAATGAGGAGGATATGGAGGACTTCGACGCGCTGATGATGTCCGGCGGCACCTCCGTTGCGGCGGGTCGTGCTCGTGCACGAAATGCATCCCATCGATCCAATCCGAGCCCCCTTCGGCGGCAGCTCAGCAGACATGATGACCGAGGCGAGGATTCGGATGAGGTGTCAATGGAGATCGATACAAGTAAGCATGACTCTCTGTGCCATCTTGCATTGTTGCTGATCTCATACAGGCATCATGGGAGCGACAAGCGCATTCTTCGAAGGACGGCGTGCGTAGTCATCTTCCCCGCTCTATCATACAGCTTCTTACCTTCCCACTTAGCCTCTACAACCGGCGATCGCTCCCGCACAGGTCGACACAGTGAAGTCGACTACGACCAAATCCCTTCCCCCGGCGTCTCTCGTGTCGCCCGACGAAGGTCGAGCGCCACTGCCATTGATCTTCGACCTTCGACCAGGACTCTACGAAGCGATGACGTTGAAGAGGACGATGACCTTGCGCGCTCGCCCGTCAGCGCTTCCACCAGTCGCGCTGCTCGGCGTTCTACGATCGGTCCTGATACCACCGCGCAGCGCACGAGCGGCAAAACGCTGCCCCGGGCAGAAGATGATGATGACGGACTGGACGAGGTGGGGGATGTAGAAGAGGTGTCGCCGTCGATCGCTAGGAGCAAGCGGGCGAGACGGACGAACGAGCTGGAGGAAGAGGTGGAGCCTCCCAGGCGCGGAAGGAAAGGGAAAGAGAAGCAACCGGCTGAAGAGGAGGAAGAGCGATCCGACGTCGAACCTGCAAACGATGACAATAACGTGCCTCAGTATGATGACGATGACGACGGCATGGACCTGAATGCTGCAGATGAGGAAGCATTGGCCGACATGAATGGAGATACAGGGATTGAAAAGGAGCGAGGAGAGCAGGAAGAGAACGAGGAAGACGGAACGCAGTCGCCATCGCCGTCAGCGATAAAGAAGAGGCGAGGCCGTCCTAAAAAGGGCGAAGGTGCCAAGGGCCTGGCGGCACGGAGGAGGGCTGAGGAGTATGCAGAATCTCGCCGTGGCGGCAGGCCGAGAAACGCCGCCGCTGGGCATGGTCGTGAGTGCACAGGTCCCGAGCTGCTGGTCCCTTTTCTGAGGAACGTCTTGCGCAGGTGCGATGAGCGAAGTCATCGATGTACATGGCGAAGGCGAAGGCCATTACTACGATGAGAAAGGCCGACGGCGCAACGCCCGTGTCCGATATGGCCCGCTCGAATACTGGCGCAACGAGAAGGTCGTCTACGGTCGACGTCAGTCTGGAGTCGCCGTTGTGCCGGTTATCAAGCAAATCATCAAGGTCGCGCCTGATCCTGTCCGACCCGTGGGAACTTGGCACAAGCGCGCTTATAAGCGAAAGTCGGAGGAACACGACGAAGTCGAGCATCGCGTTGTCAAACGGGCGAGGTCGAGATCGGAAGAGTCGGTACAGTTTGAGGAGAAGCCACCGGAGATGGGTTGGGACAAGAAGACGGATCCTCTTGGTGTTGTCATTGAGTACATCACCAAGGGTGAGGTGGAGCGCCGTAAGCACCGTTTCCTTGTACGACGTGCACGTCTAAAGTCCATCTCAGGCATTGCCTTCACCCAGAGCATGATTGAACCTCGAGAAGCGGCGAATGCCAGGTTCAAATTCCAGAAGATCTTTGGAGATGGGGAATTCCTTGCGGCAGGAATGCTGTCTGTCCCGGTGGGAGAAACGAAGCCGGCCAAGTCATCGAAAGACAACAGCTATGTGAGTCCGTACGTTGATCTTCTCCGCATTTCACTCATGCTTTGTTAGGTATTCTACGTCATCCAGGGTGCTGTCAAAGTGCAGATCTACCGCACGTCATTCTTGATCGCTGTCGGCGGCATGTTCCTTGTCCCTCGCGGCAACGTCTACTCACTCGAGAACGTGGCCGAGCGGGAAACTATACTATTCTTTGCTCAGGCGCGCAAGATTCCCGAAGACGGCAGTGTCAGCATGCACGATTCACAAGGTACGCATTTTCCCAGTCGCTGGACCCACATTCTGACGCTTCTCAGGAACGCCCATCAAGCGACACACGAGCATGACCCCTGGCCCTTCCGAAGGCCGACATTCGATGCCCCCGCCGCGGAGTCGGTCGGAAGTGGGTGATACGCCCAGTACCGGGCGATCTGCGCCTCGAGCGAGCTCCTCTCGACCCAATGGCTTTAGACGGTAGCCCATCCTCGTCCTGTTATACCTTTTCCCGTGATGGGCTGTTTGTTTGGAAAACACTATTGTACCGCACTCATTTTTTACGCGACAGTTGTATTACGATAATCCAGGAATAAATTGGTTGAAGTTGGCCCTACAGTACAGTACGAACGAGAAGTGCTGCGATGAAACGCGAGTGTGCCAGCCAGCGGTCCCCGCATTGTCTAGTCATCGGGAACCTCTGAACGTCGCTCACCCCGCCAGACCCTGTCGGCCCGGCGGCACTGCTTCCGACCGGAGCTTCCCAAAAGTTTCAAAGCCACACAGCATACATAGCACGCAATTCAGATCATCGTGAGCCATCAGCCGGTCGGCAAAAGGTATGATTCCCATTAGCCCAACGCGAGGGTCGAACTCGCAACCTTCAGATCCCACAAATTGTAAGAGTCTGACGCGCTAAACCGATTGCGCCAGCCGGGCGGCGGTGGAGGAGGCGTACATGGTGAGGTTCTTGATAGGGGATGATGTTGGTCATCACTGGATCAAGTCGATGAGGACTCGTACGCTGCTTCGAACTGATGCTCTGGCCGTCGCGCATTCGCTATTTCTTCTCTATCCGTGCTGTCGGTCACCGCCGCCGTCCTGTCCCGCACTCCGCCTACCCTTCGCACGCGAAGGCAGTCTGCCACTCGTTCATGATACAATACATGCATTACCCGCCTCATACCCCGCCCCCCCGCTAATACATAAGCGTCTCCAGCACCCCATCCAATATCCTCACCGCATCCGGAATATAAAACTTCTCAAACACCAGCGGCACAGGCGTGTCCCACCCGGTCACTCTCTTAACCGGCGCCTCAAGCCGTAGAAAACATCGTTTCTGGACCTCGGCCGCAATCTCGCTTCCTACACCTCCGGACCGGCCCGCTTCGTGGACGATTACGAGCCTGCGGGTCTTCTCCACGCTCTTGATGACTGTGTGGATGTCCCAGGGGAGGATGGTACGGAGGTCGATTAGCTCTACTTGGGCTGAGCGGAGGCTGGCGGGGATGAGGTGGGCGAGGGAGGGGGGAGGGGAACGGAGCAGGGAGAGTGCGGTCTCGCAGTGGTACAGGGGGGTGCCGTAGGAGAGGAGAGTGAGTGAGTCCCCCGGGAGGAGGACTTCGGCTCGCGAGAGGGGGAGCTCGTAGTCGGATGTGGGGACTTGCTCGACTGAAGGAAGTTAGCGGGGAACAGAAGGAAGGACTGGGGAATGTGGAAGAAGGATGGGAGCGCGTGCTGGCAGTAGAGAGGGACAGGGCGCGCCGGAGGAGAGCGTGGGAGGGAAACGGGAAACAATGCAGCAGCAGCAGGGCAGAAGGGAGAAAGCGACAAGCGGAACAATACGCACTAGCGCTCCTATACAAGATCTTTGGCTCCAAGAATACGACAGGGTTCGGGTCCCTTATAGCGGCTAGGAGGAGCCCTTTAGCCTGCAGCGGCGAGCGGGGGATCACTACCTTTCAGCTCATCAGCCCGCAGGTACAGACCCAAACACAGGCAAAGTGGAATTGTGGCAGACCTTTATCCCCGCTGCGCCTAGGAAGAACCCCTCCGGGCTCTGGGAATGATACAGCCCCCCATGGCCTACGCTCATGCACGGCGCTCTCACGGTGAGCCCGCCAGCATCATACTGCCCCCCCGTGCGGTATCGCATCTTCGCTGCCTCGGACACGAGCTGGTCGAACGCCGGGTAGATATAGTCGCTGAACTGGATCTCGGCTATTGCCGTATGCCCCATGGCGGCAAGCCCGATGCCGAACCCGGCGATCCCTTGCTCTGTGAGAGGGGTGTTGAAGACTCTGTCCCGGCCTGGTGCGGGGGTTAGCATTCCCGCAGCTGGGAGAGAAGGGAGGGCGCACCAAACTCCTCTGCAAGGTTCATAGTGCACCTAAACACGCCTCCGAACGCTACATCCTCCCCGAACACGAGCGCGCTATCGTCTTTGAGGAGTGCGATGCCCATGGCGTCCCGCACAGCCTGGTAAACGTTCATCTTCCTCGTCTCCCTCGCCCCGTCCGTCCCCTCCCCGGCCTCATGATCCCGATCCCGCAACGCGTCCGGCTCGTCTTTCCACCTCAGGCCTGGGGCGCGCAGGGCCGCTTCCCGCGTCATGCGCAGGAGGGAGGAGGTGGCTACGCTCGGCAGGTGTCCGCCTGCAGGTGCGGGCTCGATGGTATTTGTAACGTGGCGACGGTGGTTGGGCGTGGAAGGGCGAGGCGGCCGCGGGGAGTGGGAATTCGCGCGAAGGAGAGAAGAAGGGGAGTGGGAGGGTATATATCGCGCTGTGGACGGGCGCATCGTTATCCACTCTCCTCTGTCCTGTGCTGCCCGTTCGCTGGCTTATAAACACTTGTGAGGAGAAGCACCGCACGCGAATGGTGTACGCACGACAGCACCCCGCCAGGCACACCGCCGGTTCCGGCTCCGGCTCCGGCTCCGGGGGTGCGGTCAGGGCCCATACCACCTCCTCCCCCGGATTCGCCGCTTCCTACGGCGCCTTCCCGCTCACCATATCCGACTCTGACGCCCTCTTCTGGCGCTCAACGCTCGGGATGACTTCCGCCAACGCACACCACGCTCCGGAGGAGACGAGCCTGACTGCCCCCGAGGGAATCTACCACCTCACAGACGACGTCAAGCCCCCCGTGCTCCATTCCCAGATCGTCAACTCCCCCAATCTGTACCCGAGCAGGCTGACGACGATCACCGTCTCCTTCCCCGGGAAACAGGCGAGTCAGGGGCTCGCAGCGTTGCTCAGGAGGGATAAGGGGGACAGTGGGCGGCAGAGGGAGGCGGAGGAGCCCGAGCCTGCGCCTGCAGGGGAGGAAAGCGGGAGCGAGGGGTCCCACAACAACAACAACAACAACGAGTCTGACTCTGACCCGCTCGCTGCGTCGGACACCCAACCCCCCACCCCCGGCCTCTTCTCCCCCACCAGCCCCGCGCCCCCGGGCGGGAAGAAGAAAGCGTCAGCGCGAACGACGCACAACATCCGCTCCACCTCCTCCTCCTTCGTAACCCGCATCCACACCACCGAGGGGCTCACGAAGCACCTCGCCTCCAAATCCGGCGACGTCACCTTCGTATTCTACAACGGGGCGAAGAGTTTCTTCTGGTACGAGATCGGGGGCGGGATGAAAGAGCCCCTTGCGCGGGTCACGTTCGCCGCATTTCCGACTTGTCACGACCTGAACCGCGCTACCTCTGGCTCGGAGGCACTCGACCTGCTCATAGGATTCAACACGGGCGATATCATGTGGTACGACCCCCTTTCCTCGCGCTACGTGCGCATAAACAAGGGGGGGTGCATGACCACCTCACCCGTAACCTGCGTCCGCTGGGTCCCAGGGCACAGGAGCATGTTCCTAGCCGCGCACGCAGATGGAACCATAAACGTGTACGACAAGGAGCGGGAGGACGGGAATTTCGGACTTGCCGGAGGGGTGGATCCCGTGAAGGACGCGGAGTGGAACGCGCTAGAGGAGATGACCGTTGTTAGGCCGCCGGCGCCGGCGGCCGCGAAGGGGGAGAAGGATAAGCAGGCGAGGAACCCGGTGTCACATTGGCGCATTTGTAGGCGCGCGATTACCGGTGCGTCCTCCGCACTCTCTCCCCGTCCCACTCGCTGACGCCCCCGCAGACTTCTCCTTCTCCCCCGACATGCGCTACCTTGCCACCACGTCCGAAGACGGCTGCCTGCGAATAATCGACCCCTCAGCGGAGAAGCTGCTGGACACCTATTCCTCCTACTTCGGCTCGCTCACCTCCCTCGCCTGGACGCCCGACTCGCGCCACCTCCTCACAGGAGGACAGGACGACCTCGTCTCCCTCTTCTCTCTGCGGGAACAGCGGCTCCTCGCCCGCTGCCAGGGTCACTCAAGCTTCGTAGTGGCCGTGGCGGTCGATGGAGCGAGGTGTGATGGCAGGGGTTATAGGTTCGGAAGTGTGGGTGAGGATAAACAGCTCGTGCTGTGGGACTTTGTGGCGCCGCCTGTGACGAGGCAGAGGACGGGGACGCTCAAGGGCGAAAAGGGCGAAAAGGAGGAGAAACAGAGCAGGTACCATCCGGCGCCTCCAAGAGCGCTCATCCCGGTCATTTACCCGTCTATGGTGCGTTTTCTGCTTCCCACCTCTTCCGCCTCTGCTGCTCCATGCCTTCCGTGCATCCACTGACACGCGAGCAGATCGTCCCCCTCCAAGGGGAGATCCTCTCCTCCCTCGCATTCGTCCCCCAGTACGTGCTTACAGTCACCCGCCCGGGGTGGGTCAAGTCCTGGCAACGGCCGCCGGAGCGCGCGGTGGATATGACCGCGGAGAAGAATGCGCTGTTTGCGAGGAAGGAGGAGGCGGTGGGGGAGGGGATTAGGGTGTAGCTGACGCGTAGCCCGTAGCGGGCGGTTGTGCTACGGCGTGCGTGTGCATTGGGCAGTAGAGTAGGCGCAGGGAGCTAGCTATCTAACAGGACGCTTGATATCTATTCGGTATGTTATCCGTGGAAACGGGGAAACACTGGGCATGGGAAATGGTTTAAGATACAAAACTATTCATTCGCCGAGATCATCAACGGACCGGCACGAAGCAATGCGCAGGGAGCAATTCGTCAGAATCCCAGTGGGAACGACATGCGAAGTCGCTGGACCACCGCCGCGCCGAAGAAAGGGGTGCCATCGCCTGGCAAATTCAAGAAGAATCCCTCCGAGAGCCAGATACCGTGAGTGTAGCAGGAAATGTCGCTCGGCTCCCACACACGTATAGCCCTGGCTGAGAAAAACGCCCCACCTGGGGGCCGAACCGACTCACGCGAGATCCGATGGGTATCATCCCTCTACATTACTATCCACGTACAATACTATGGCATCCTACAACCCCTTCCCCTTCCCCTTTTCCGCCTTCTCGTCTGGCATCCTCAGCACGACAAACTTCCTCGTAAGGCAGTTGAACACGCTGCCGAAGAAGAGCGCGACCAGCGTTGAGCTCATGATGATTACGTTGTAGGGCATGCTAAAGTCTGGAGTGGGGAGGTCCACGAGCAGGGTGGAGCTGTAGATCCTCCCTTGGCCTGCGAGCTCTCCGCGGGTAAGGCCGGCCCCCTCCCGGCTGCTTGAGGGAGAGGTGTTGAGTGCTTGAGGGAGGGGGAATACGACCGCAGCAGGCAGGTCCCACCCCCGTGAAGCGTCCGGCTGGTGCTCCGTATACCTTATGAAGCCCTTTTCGGCCTGCATGGTGAGGTGCACCTGGGAGGAAGCAGGGAGGAGGAGGGTGAGCTCGAGCAGGGTGGGCTTGGGGGAGACAGGGGGCAGATAGGAGATGGATTGGAGTATATCCTCTGCATGTCCATCAACGTGGTAGGGGGAAGAGCTGGGCCGAGGTGAACGTACCTCGCGCAACGCCGCCCACCTCCGTCTTGAGCGTGTGCAGGAACAAGCTGAGGAACCAAG